TACACACACACATATATAGGCTATACTCTCTCTTTGTGTATTTGAGCATCACACAGATCCGTCCTGTCATTGTTAAGATGAAGACCGGCTCGCAAACAATCCTAAGTGCCTTATTTCCACTACTGTCGCGAACACAGCGCCTGTATGCTCGACGCAGCTGAGCAAGCCATTATTTTAATTTAGCTGAGATCTGAAAGACTCCCTTCTGCAAAAACTCGCTTCGCTTTGTACTCGAGACTCTTTCGCGCAGCTTTCCCGCGCTCACACAAGCGCGCGTAAACCCACAGTTCACAGCGTCTCTGTCAGAGCGGAAGCTTCATTTGTATTCCGCGCGACTCTCGCCAGGTAAGTAATGACAAGCAGCAAAGGCCAGCGTGTCACAGCTCCTCTCAGCTGACGTCAGGCTTTCACACGCCTGTAGGCTCTGGCGCAGATGAGGCCGCTTCTTCCCTCTAATGAGCTGCTGTTTGCCTCTCAGGACTGTACATTATCTCCGGTGTCCTCCGGCCGGGTTCAGGTAATAGTCACGGGTCTCCGTAACGCGCGCGGATTCCGGCGCACGATTTCTTGCTTTCATTTGCATTTGAAAAGCCGTATCCTCGCATGGGATTAAGCATAATGAGAGTCGCGAATACAAAGATGAAGAAAAATGCGATGAAATGGTTCATTGTTGTGGCGACAAGGAGAGTTTGATACGGCTGCAGTGAGCATTGCCTTGGTTCCGCCAGAGCTTTTTGTTTTTTTCTCATTAATTTTATGCTTACACATAAATAAATAATAAAAACGGAGCCAAACCAACTATTTTAAATAGTTTACATTAAACAAACTATTTAACTCCAAAAAGCACTGCAAATAAAATTACTACTTTTAAAGTCATTAATAATAAAATACAATATTCTAAAATAAATTTCCAAGTAAAAAAAAAAATATGATAATATAAATTATTTCAATAAGAATTCCTATAGAAATGATATAAAATGAATTAAAATAATACGTATGTTCAGAAAAATTGTATGCTGTGAAAGCAGATGCTATTATGATGCACTATAAATTGTAATATATAAAATATAGTTAGGCCTACATAAAATGAATACATATACATTATAAATAAAATATTAAAGGGGTCATATGATGCAATTTCAAGTTTACCTTTGTCTTTGGAGTGTTACAAGCTGTTCGTGCATATACAAGATCCGTAAAGTTGCAAAGACTGAAGTCGGAAACCCAAAGAGATATTCTTTATAAAAGTTAAGACTCGTCCACGCCTTTCTAAAACGCCTCATTTCAACACCCCCCCACAAATCTACATCACTGTGTTGGACGATTTGAAAAACACCACCCAAATGTTTATGCAAAGAAAGAAGGTGTAACTTTTATTCTCACTGTAGTATTGTTACCGCCGCTGCCATGTCACGAATACCTGAGGTATTCAGCCAATCACAACGCACTGGATAGCTGGCCAATCAGAGCACACCTCGCTTTTCAGAACGATGAGCTTTGTAGAGAGGAGCAACAATAATGTATGGTATGGTAACCTTAAACCGCGTAAAAGCATTGCATTACACCAAATACACAAAATGATGTTATTTGTAGCATTGTCATATGATCTCTTTAATTTTGAATATAAAATAATGAATAAAAAACATTATTTATACTGAATGTTATAATGAATTTACAATGAATTAGTTTTACGATTTCTTTGGTAAATTGACTTCTTTGATTGGCATTGCTGTCATTGTTAACAAACTGAAAACTATTAAAAATCGTTTTCATTAACAGAAATGACACTGAAGCGTAACAAAATAGAAATATTAGAAGAAAAAAAAGAAAACCTTGAAATAATAAAAAAATGAGCATGATGGAAACTAGAAAAGTTGCTTTACTGAAATAAGTCTAAGTTAAAGTACTAAAATTACTGAAGCGGAAATAAGAAGCTGCATAGAAATATTTAAAAATAATAAAGATGATACAAGCACATAAAATTGCTAAAACTGATATGAAAGACTAAAACTGAAAACATTATTCATTATTTTATTATTTATTGTTTATATAATATTATTCAACATAACACTATATTAATAGTACTAAAATAACTGCTGATTGGTGGATTTTCTTTAGGGATTGTGGGTAATGTAGTTCTTCATTGGGAATTTATCAATTACACATTTTTTTTTTTTTTTGGTTCAAAATTTTAATCACGATGACTTGTGGCTCATACAGAAGCATGAAACCTGCGGTAGCTCAAGGTACTTCTGTATTTAAAGGCTTGTACGTAATTGCTAAAAAAACTGTTCTCTGGATCGAATGAATGGGACTTCCAGAAGCTGACTGTTGTGCTCCATAGCATGTTTATCAAGGCATAAAACAACATCCTGTGTGTTCTTAGAAACGTAATTAAAAGGTCCTAACAAATATAAATGTTTTGGTGTCAGATCCCATCATGGTATCTGCCGTTGGTACATGCTCAAATCAGCTTGCTCTATTATTTAGGCAATTGCTTTTCAGTACCGGCACAGAGGAAAAAAAAGCTGAGCCATTCATCTCGTATGCAGATAATGAGCAAATGTCCTTATGCTAATGAAATGTATTTTAAAAGATTGTTGTGGGACATTGATTCTGATCCTTAACTGTGCTATTAATACCTATTTGCCCTTCCGTTCCTCGAGATGGCAACCCTCTCCCTGTGATGAAATATAATTTTTAATTTATTCAGGAAGGGATGAAAAATGGATGATCTTAGAGGTACAAAAGCCGGAGTCTAGATTGCCTGCAGCTTGCAAACAGGTATTACAAAATAGAGCCATTTCGGCAACATCAGCCTGCAAATGGATTTGAAATTGAGTGGAAAACCATGCGTGCGGAGGGTTAGACTCTTAGCTGCCTTGAAGGGAATTATAGCGAGTAAAATATTCACGCCCCAAAAAAGGGCAAAAGTAAATGAAAGAAGGGGTGACACTTAGACCAATACGCTTTCAATTGCCTAGACTAAAAAGACGCAAATCCGGTTTTCCTGAAGAACAAAGTGCCTACAATTAAAATATCTGTATTAATGCTGCTCCAGGAGTTCATTTTTCCTTCACTTTATTGTGCAAGATTCAATCCCACACAGAAAGTGATTCCATTGGCTGAAAGATCTTGCTTTGGGAATTGTATAAAAAAAAAAAGTATA